CTTTCTCTCTCTCAGCCTTCTCCTCAGTGTTCCCCCAGACTAGGAGCTTCTCAGCGCAGGGACCCCAGTCCAAAGGACGCACTCTGCTCCCGGCACTGCTTTATTGATGGCATGAGGTCTCCCTGTCTCACCGCTCACTTCTGTCTTTTCTTTCTCAAGAGATTGCTTCAGGACACAATCCAGTCTTGTAGATCCAGTCCTGCCTTACTAACACGACTGCCACCCATCCTCCCTCACGAACATCATAGAGGCAGGTTTACAACATACAGGAAAATCACGCAGTACCAGGAATCATGGCCTAGCCAAATCGATACACACATTTTTGGGGGACATAATCCAAACCATGACACTAGGTTTTATTTGTCAAGTAACGAGTCTAGTTTGGGGGTACACACGCGCGTGCAGGACACTGCCTTGTCCACTTTGAAAGCAAGGCTTTGTGAGTCTTACAACAATGATTTGGGATGCATTCTGCCTTTCTGTGGTTGGGAACAGTTAAATAAACTGTCTCTTCCCATTTCACTCACGAGACCATTTGGGTCTGGTACACTTCTAGTGGGCTGAGAGTAACATCCTTTTCAAGTTCTTTGTTCATCTGTTTGGTTTGTCTAATTTCTTGAGTTCATTTTGTTATGTTACTTTTTGAAATTGTCTTTCATTAAGCTGTTCAGATTTGGGAGCCATTGAACTGATGTGGTTATTTGCTGACACGTGTGTTCTCTGTATCTGCGAGTACATCCCTCTCACCTTTCGAACGCTGTACGTCTGAGTCTTTTCACAGGTTTGTCCTTTTGTTTGGTCTTTCTGAGTTTTTTGCTTGATCAGTGTTACCAGTTTTTCTCTTTAAAAATAACTAATTTTTGTTTTTATCCTATTAATTTTGTCTCTTTTTTAGCAGCTTCCGTTGACTGCTTAGTTTGATTTAAGCGTTTCTTAATAGAGTACTGAAACAGAATGAATATTCGAAAGCTCTTATGACAGCTATTAAAAGGAGCTCGCTGATGGTGCTATCCAAATCCTTCATAGCCTCATTTTTAAACTTTTAATTTTCTTTAGTCTTAATTTGTCTCTTCTGATCTGTCAAATTCTGAGAGAGGCTGTCTGTGGGCCTCCCAGCAGGGTTGTGGCCACATGGGTTTGTCCATACAGTTGTAGAGTTTGCTTTTCTGTTGTGTTGTAGTGCTTTTTGATAGGTAGAGGGTCTTGACACTCCTTTGTCAGCATGGTATCTCCTTTAAAATACAAAGCAGCCTCTTTATTCTGTTGGGTTCTTGTCTGATATTTACATTGTCAATCCTACCCTTTTTGTTTGCATTTCCTTGGTGTATCATTGATCATTTCCCTATTTTCAGCTTTCAGTGCCAGTCTGTTTAAAGTCTCACTTACCATTGGGAACTCTTGCTGTTATAACTCACTCTTACAGGTGATCCCCCAGTATGGCTGGTCTTAAAAAAACCTGCTCTCTGTCTATTATATTTTCTTGTTTTCTATTTTCTTTTCCTGCTTTTTGCTATTTTCTGTTACTTTTTCCCTTTATTGATTTAATAGTTCTACGTTCTATTTCTTTTCTAACATAGGTAGTCCCCGACTTCCGACAGGGTTCCGTTCCAACGACTCCATTGTTAAGCCGGTTCTGACGTAAGCCAGATACCTCTTTTTTTTTTTTTAAAGTTTTCAACATTATTATCAGTATCTTTATAAATCATAGTATCGAACATTTGTGACTGAACATCTGAGAATGATGATAGCAGCAAATTACACGCTGCAGCACTGCCCGTAGTACATATTACAATGATAAGAAGTACCAAAACACCAGACGGCCGTAAGTGCAGTTCGTCGTAACGCGAGCATGTCGTAAGTCAGGGACTACCTGTAGTGAGCCCTGGTGGTGCAGTGGTTAAGTGCTTGGCTGCTAACCAAACGGTTGGTGGTTCAAACCCACCCATCTGCTCCACGGGAGAAGGACCTGGCAATCTGCTTCTGTAGAGATTATAGCCTAGAAAATCCTATGGGGCAGTTCTGCTCTGTCACATGGGGTTGCTTTGAGTTGAAAATCAACTTGAAGGTGTCTAACAACACCACCAGATACTGAAATAGCAACTGTCAATCAGTAGATAGGCTTGCTATTTTTTTTCAGAAATGTATCTGAACATATATTTCTGCTGAGCTTAAGAGTTAAGCAGTATCTATTAACCCCCTTTCCGTCCTTGCACGAGATGAGTTCTTTGTACTCTTTTATTGTCTTCTAATCTCACCCTAAGCTTTGTTAAACTAAACTGAAATTATAGTAACACTTGATAATATATACCTCTTTGTATTTTAAAATACTTTCTTAACCAAACCTGTGGCCATCGAGTGGATTCCGCCTCATAGCGACCCTATAGGACAGACTAGAATTGCCCATAGGGTTTTCAAGGAGTGGGTGCTGGATTTGAACTGCTGACCTTTTGGTTAGCAGCCAGGTTCTTAACCACTGCGCCACTAGGGCTACCCTTTCTTAACAGTTTCATTAATATTTAAAACAATGTTTTAACATTCATTTAGGCTTAATTTTGTTTTGATTTATTTTAAAAAATAATATGTATATTAAATACAATTTCCTCTCAAATTTTTTTCTTCTATAGTTTAATAAGAGACAGTGTAGCCTAATATTTAATAGTACTAGCTCTGGAGTTGACTGCCTTTCTACATTCAAATTCTGACTTCACCATTTACCAGCTGCATGAACTGGTATGCTATTTATGATCTCTAAACTGGTTTCCTTTAAAATGAGGGTTAGTAACAGTACCTGTGCCCTTTCTCAAAGAGTTTCTATGAGAAATATATCTCACAGAATATATAGGTAGTCCCCGACTTACAATGGAATTCCGTTCCGACGATGCTGTCGTAAGTCTGTTCTAATATAAGTTGAATACCTCTTTTTTTTAGTTTTCATTATTATTGCCTTTATTATCAGTATCTTTATAAATCTGATCTTTATTAGTCTTTCGGGGCTGGAAACATTACATGTATGCTTACAAATATATTTTAATATATACGTACATACGTATTACTAACGATCCCCACCCATTGCTGTCGAGTTGATTATGACTCAAAGCTACCCTACAGGACAGCATAGAACTGCCCCATAGGGTTTCTAAGGCTGTAGATCTTTACAGAAGCAGACTGCCACATATTTCTCCCTCAGAGTGTCTGGTGGGTTCAAACCACCGACCTTTCGGTTAGCAGCTGAGTGCTTAACCGCTGCACCACCTGGGCTCCATTACTAACAATAAGATGTACCAAAAAAAAAAAGATGGTCGTCAGTGCGGTTTATTGTAGCTCAAATACATTGTAAGTCGGGGGCTCCCTGTAGAGCGTCCAGGGCTGTGAACCACTGCTGTGTGTGCTGTTGCACAGAAAGCCTTTTCTACTGACAGCACCTGCTGAGCGTCTTCCTTTGCAGTCTGCACGCCACTCTCGTGTTCTTTAATGACTGCACTACTCCATTGTCTGGGTATAGCCAGTTGCCGTCAAGACAGTTCCAGCTGATGGAAAGCCCATGTGTGTCAGAGTGGAATGGCGCTCCGTAGGGTTTTCAATGGCTGTCATTTTGGAACTAGATCACCAGGCCTTTCTTCTGAGGTGTCTCTGGGTGGACGCTGGGTATTCGGGTGGTGACCAAGAACGTTAACTGTCTGCACCACCAATCTCTTGGTAGTTTATTTTTGAGTCCTGGCATGTCTGAAAACGGAATGTATATGTCTATGTTTCTGTCGAGCGTGGCTGCTACTTGGTTAGATACAGAATTCCAGGGCCACCATTATTCCCCCCTTAGAATTAAGTAAAGATATTATGTCTTAGTTATCTAGTGCTGCTAATAACAGAAATACCACAAGTGGGTGGCTTTAACACACAGAAATTTATTTTCTCACAGTTTAGGAGGCTAGAAGTCTGAATTCAGGGGCTACCTCTAAAGGAATGTTTTTTCTCTCTGTCGGCTCTGGGGGAGGGTCTTTGTCTCTTTACCTTCTGTTTCCTGGTTTCTTGGAGATCTCCATGTGACTTGGCATCAGTCTTCCCCGATATCTGCTTGCTTGCTTGTCCTAATTTGCTCTTTTTATATTTTGTAAGAGATTGACTCAAGACACCCCTACACTAATCCTGTCTCATTAACATTGCAAAGACAACCCATTCCCAAATGGAATTATAACCACAGGCATAGAGGTTAGGATTCTCAAAATGTATTTTGGGGAACAGAGTTCAATCCATAGCATTCTCTTTGCTTTCTGACACTTTTAGTGTTGCAGAAAATATGCCCAGTCCAGGCAGATTCTTTTCCCTCTGTGGGGAATCTTTTCCTTTTTCTGTTTTGTTCTGACTAGAAGCTATGGCATTTTCTCTTTATTTTTCTATATCTTTGGAATTCAGACATTTAAGTAGGATATGCCTAGGTGTATGTCTTTTTTCCATGCTACTTCTGGTACTCTGTGGGGTGTTTTGCTCTATAGACTCAAGTCTCTCCTCATTTTATAGAATTTTTCTGCTATCATTTAAAAAAAAATATTGCTTGTACATCCTTTCCACTCTGCCCTCCTGGAATTCATGTTAAACGTTGTTAGAACTCCTAGATTTATCTTCTTGTCTTCTGGGCTTTTCTCTCATTTTCCTTCTTTTGCTTTAATAAATCTCTTTTCGTTTACCTTGTTTTAAGTTTAATAAGGATGGACACAAATGATGTCTTAGAAAAATAAAAATAGGTGTATACGTGTTATAACTTGTACTAGTCTTATTTTGAGAGGCCCTACATCAGTGGATAAATATTAGTCAGTGTTAACCACTTTGTGAACTAATGGGAACTTCCATTAGTATAATAACCATGATTGTCTGTAGTGTGTTCATGTTGGTACGCATTTACAAAATGCTTTAGACTGTGTTACGATGAAAAGTTGTCATTTTAAGGGTCATGCTCAATTAACTTCTTATTTAAAATTGACTTTACCATTTTATTATGGTTTTAGGAGAAACTAATTGGAGATATTGCTCATTATCATGGAATTCTGATCACTTCTTACTCCTACATTCGACTGATGCAAGATGACATCAGCAGACATGACTGGCATTACGTGATCTTGGATGAAGGACACAAAATTCGAAATCCAAATGCTGCCATTACCCTTGCTTGCAAACAGGTGTGGCCTCTTAGAACGGGGATTTCCAGGTGGATAAACTGTCTGCTGTTAGTAATACAGTTATGAAATCTTGTGCCTTTACATAAGAAATGTAAAATACACATTTTGGTCATAATGTAGAAAATTGTGTTCTTGCCCTTCCTCGTGTGTTTTTCATTTTCAGTGCTCACAATACCTAATGTCTCCTGCAGCAGCCGATCGTTAGAGTGTTACCAAATCCAACCCTACTCCCTATTATTCACCTTGAACATCAGGATAACACCTTTCCCCGTTTGTTCATGTACATGTAATTGAAGGATTTTAAGTACATAAACGTCTGTCTTTTGGAGGGGACCAAAGTGACGTGAGAGCTAAAGTGATACAGATGTGCTCAACAGCAGTAGTGTGCAGCGGTGTTTGGGGTGGAGTGATGGTTCTCTGCTAAAGGTGAATTGCTTGTTCAGGTCTTTTCTTTCCCCACCTAGTTCCGCACCCCTCATCGCATCATCTTGTCGGGCTCACCGATGCAGAATAACCTGCGAGAGCTGTGGTCGCTCTTTGACTTTGTCTTCCCGGGCAAGTTAGGAACGTTGCCGGTGTTCATGGAGCAGTTCTCTGTTCCCATCACCATGGGGGGATATTCCAACGCTTCCACAGTACAGGTAACTACTAGGCAGCTAATACTTTTGGCATCTTAATATTTAAAATATTCCGACTAAATAACTTTGTAGCTAAGTCATTCAGAATGTAAGGGAAATGCTCAGGTTTGTAAATTGGTGTCTGATAAAATCACAAAGTTGTTTTTGCTTGATAGATCATATTTTTCCTGATGAGTTTTTAAAATCATGTAAAATATTCACATAGAATGAAACTTATAAAATAGAATTAAATAATTTGGTGTTGATTGTCCCCGGAGCAGTCAGAAATTGTAAATCAAGAGTGGATCAGTTTCTGGACAGCTTATAACTTAGTGCACATTGGGGTGGCGCATCTCATAAGGTGGTGCAGAAGCTTGGAAAATAGGACGCCAGGGGGACTGGATTCTTCCAGGAGGACTTGTGAGATATGCATACTTTAACCTGGTTCTTAGAAAATAGGCCAAGAGGAGAAAGGATGAGGGAAGAATGTGGCCGCAGCCACGCTGTGTGGCCGTGGGCAGTGACAAGACCACTCCTTTGGGCTGGAGATGTTCGTGGGGGAGCTATGGGAAAGCTGTGGATGCTGCCAGCGGAGTTTGGGAGGGGGGCGGAGGCGCTCAGGTAGTGAGGAGCCACTGATGGATTTGAGCAGGAGGCTGGGAGAGTGCTCCCCTAGGAGGATTCCTCGGGTTGCAGGGCATTTACAGGAGGGGAGCCTAGCATTGAGGGACCTGCAGGAATTGATGGGAGTGAGGGTGGTGGGGACTGGGACCTGGACTTGGATGGTGGTCCTGACAAGGAAGGTGAAGAGCAAGAGGCCCAAGTGGCATTTTTTAGGCAGAACAATCAAGATGTGGAAACTGCTAAGGTAAAGGAAATTAGGGAGGTGGGAGGCTGCTGCAGCAGACCCCTGGGGTTTTAGGCCCAGGTGGCTGGTAGAATGGGTTTGCACAGGAAGCAACATCAGCAGGTGATGCTGACTTGAGGGCAGTTTGGGGTATTTGCACTCTAATTGGTAGTAAGGTACTAAGAAAGGATGTGTACTAAACTTGGGCAGGTTCCAGCCATGGTGAGGGTGGGGCCTCTGCAAAGCTCTGCTCAGGTGGGGCCTGCACCTGACAGGTTGTGGTTGAGCCAGAAGGGAAGCTTTCCACCTAGAGAGAAGTTCCAATGTTTTGAAAAGTATAATTAGAAAAAGAATTTTAGTTAGAAACAGAGATATCATATGATTCAGCAATCCCACTCCTAGGAATATATCCTAGAGAGATAAGAGCCGTGACAAGAGTAGACATATACACACTCATGTTTATCGCAGCGCTGTTCACAATAGCAAAAAGTGCCCCTCAATGGATGAAAGGATAGACAAACTATAGTACGTATACACAGTGGAATACTACACAGCATTAAAGAATAGCAGTGAATCCGCAGAACTTCTCACAGCATGGATAAACCTGGAGGACATCACGCTGAGTAAAATAAGTCAATCACAAAAGGACAAACATTGTATGAGACCACGTTATAAAAAGTCAAGAAAAGTTTACACACAGAAAGAAACATTCTTTGATGGTTACCAGGGATGGGCGGGGAGGGAGGGAAGATCACTAACTAGAGAGTAGACACGTATTAACTTGGGTGAAGGGAAAGGCAGTACACAGTAAGGAGGATGTGAGCACAACGTGACTAAGGCAAAGGAAGACACTGGGAGGAACATACAAGTATTAGGAAACGATGATAAGTACTTTAACATACACTATCCTGCAATAACAGTAATAACCAACAGTTTATGAGTGGATACATAGGTAGATATGTAAGCTGAACAGGTGTGGGGTGGCGTATGGGAATATACCCACGAGAATATATAGATTTGGCAGAGGCTGTTTCTACATGGGTATTTGTGTGTGCTGCAAATATATCTGCGTATATAGTAGAGCATCCAGGGGACAAAGTTATGAAAACTTCTTTACCATAACCAAACACCTTGAGGGGCTGGGTCACTGGGCTTGAGGGCTTATGACCATAGTCTTGGGGGACATCTAGGCCAATTGGCATAACATAGTCCATAAAGACAAGGTTCTATATCCTACTTTGGTGAGTAGCAGCTGAGGTCTTAAAAGTTTGCTAGCAGCCATCTAAGATACAGCTATTGGTCTTTTCCTGTCCGGAGCAAAGAAGAATGAAGAAAATCAAAGACTCAAGGAAACAATTAGTCCAAAGGACTAATGGGCCACATGAACCACGGCCTCCACCAGTCTCCAAACTTGATGGTGCCCAGCTACCACTACCGACCGCTCTGATCGGGATCACAATAGAAGATCCTGGACAGAGTGTGAGAAAAATGTAGAACAAAATCCAAATTCATAAAAAAGACTAAATTTACTGGTCTGATAGAGACTGTTGGAACCCCCAAAACTATGGTACCCTTCATAGCTGGAACTGAGCCCACTCCCGGAGATCACCTTTCAGCCAAACAGGAGACAGGCCTATAAAGTGAACAGGAACAGCTGTGAGGAACGTGCTTCTCAGAACAATCAGCCTCACAAGACCAAAAGGGCAGCATTTGCCCAGAAACAAAGTTCAGAAGGTAGGAGAGATGGGCGAATGGAAATGGGGAACCCAGGGAGGAAGTGGGTAGAGTACTGTCACATTGAGGGAATTGCAGCTGTCACAAAACAAAATGTATATAAATTGTTGAATGGGCAGCTAATTTGCTCTGTAAACTTTCACCCAAATCACAGTAAAATGTTAAAAAAAAAAAAAAAAATTTAGACCTCTAAAATTAGAGAATTATCAACAACTATTTTTAATTAACTTTGTGAGTAAGGATCCTTTCTTCTTCTCTGAGTCCCTGTTGTCTTTCATTTATAACATTCTTTTTTTTTAAACTTTTTATTTTGAAATAATTTCAAACTTAACAGAAAGTTGCAAGAATTGAAGAAGAAGAAAAAAAAAAAAAAAACTCCAGTAGATTCCCCAGTTGTCAGCATTTTGCTAACATTTTGCCACATTTACTTTACCATTCTTCTCCACCACTTTATTTTTGTACACAAATTAATGCTGTGTTTTTTTCTCTGAATCATTTGAAAGTTACAGACATCATGCCGCTTATTCCTGCAAATGCTTCAGTGTGTACAGTAGTCCCGCCTTATCCGTGGGGTATATGTTCCAAACCACCCCCCATGGATGTTTGAAACCTCAGATATTACTGAACCCTATATATACTATGTTTTGTGCTATACATACATACCTATGATAAAGTTTAATTTATAAATTAGGCACAGGAAGAGCTAATAATAAAGTAGAACAATTATAACAATATACTGTAATAAAAGTTACGTGAATGATGGAATGGGATGGCGTGAGATTTCATCATGCTGTGTTAGGTAACATTTTTGAACCTCAGTTGACCGCAGGTAATTGAAACCATGGATAAGGGGGGACTACTGTATTTCCTAAGAACAAGGACATCCTCTTTCGTACCACAGTGTAAATATCGAAATCAGGAGGTTTAACACTCTTACAATTCTGTTGTCTAATCTGTAGTCATTCAGATTTCACCAGTTGTCCCAGGAGTTCCCATGTCTCTTTAGTCTCCTTTAATCTGGAATGGTTCCTCTAATCGTTCTTTTGCCTTTCCTGACCTTGACATCTTTGAAGACGATGAGCCAGTTATTCTGTAAAATGTACCTTGATTTGAGTTTGTCTCATGTTTCTTCATGATTAGATTCAGGTTTGCGGTTCTGGCAGGCCTTTCACAGAAGCGATGTGTCTTGGGGCGTCATATCCAGAGGCACATGCTGTCAGTGTGTGCCATTGCTGGCGACATTTAACTCTGATTACTTGGGTAAGGTGGTGTTTGCCAGATTTCTAAGCTGTACAGTGACCATTTTCCCTTTGGAATCAATAAGTAAATCGTGGGGAGATACTTAGAGACTGTGCAAGTATGGTCTTTCTTCCTTGAGGTCCTTGTGTCATGAGTTTGTATCATTATCCTCTTTCCCTTTCTAGATTGTAAGCTCCTTGGGAGCAGAGGTGACATGTTCAACACAGAACCTTTTTTTTTTTTTTTTTTTAATAAGTAGGCAATAGGATCTGTGATTAATTTTGAAAAACTATGGCTTGTTGCTTTTATTTGCTCCTTTTTGTTTAAGAGTGTGGTTCCCTTGCCTTCTTGAATCACAAGAAGATAGTCATTTGGCAGCTATTGTGTCAGGCTGGGAAACCCCGGTGGCATAGTGGTTAAGTGCTATGGCTGCTAACCAAGAGGTTGGCAGTTCAAATCCACCAGGCACTGCTTGGAAACTCTATGGGACAGTTCTACTCTCCTATATGGTCGCTATGAGTCGGAGTTGACTTGACGGCAACAAGTTTGGTTTTTTATGGTGTCAGGCTGGGGCTAAAATGAGTATAGTGAGAGGTGGGCAGTGGGGAGCATGATAAGAAAAGAGAACTACAGTACAGTGTAGTGAGGACTTTGATCAGGGGAGCTGTCCAGTACTCAGAGCTTGTGGGGGTCAAGAAAGATTTCGTGGACGGGGATGACTACCTAAGCTATAAGGCTGAGAAAGGTGAGGAGGAAGAGCATTACCAGCCAAAAATATGGATTGCTTCTGGAATTTGTATGTTAACTGTGTGCAGGGAACCTCAGAACTAAAACGAACCGGAGGAGTCATCTAGTTGAACCTCCTCGTTTCATGCTGAAAGTTACTGAGACTCAGTGCTTAGGAGACTTGCCTGAGGTTATTCAGCTCTTGAGGAGGCAGAACTGGGGCTGTACCTACCCCAGCATGGGCACACTGCTAGGTATCTGCGTCCCACAGCACGGGTCGGGGGCTGTCAGGGGTGATCCTTAAAGAAGTACAGTTGCATCACCCGTCATGTGTTTTTAACAAACAGACACGGGAGCCAGGTGGGAATGAAATAAAGGATTGGCTTCATTGCCCTGGTGGTACAGTGGTTAAGAGCTCAGCTGCTAACCAAAAGGGCAGCAGATCAAATCCACCAGTTGCTCCTTGGAAACCCTATGGGGCTGTTCTACTCTGTCCTGTAGGGTCGCAGTGAGTTGGAATCGACTCAATGGCAGCAGTTTGGTTTTTTTGGTTTATTGCCCAAGGGACAGGATTCCTTGTGAATCTGCTGGGCTGCAGAACGGGGCTTCATGTGAAGGCTGAAATAGGGCTTCCTATTCTGTTCCTCAAGGAGCCCTGGTGGCGCAGTGGTTAGAGAACTCAGCTGCTAACTGAAAGGTAGGCATTTTGAACCCACCAGCTGCTCTTCAGGAGAAAGATGTGGCAGTCTGCTTCCATAAAGATTACAGCTTTGGAAACTCTATGGGGCAGTTCTAGTCTGTCCTGTAGGGTCACTATGAGTCACAATTGACTCAACAGCAACGGGTATTCTGTTCCTGGAGTCCTTGGGTGGTGCAGATGCTTAATGTACTCGGCTGCTAACTGGAAGGTTCGCAGTTAGTATCCACACAGCGGTACCTCAGAAGAGAGGCCTGGTGATCTACTTCTGAAAAATCAGCCATTGAAAACCGTGTGGAGCACACTTCTGCTCTGACACACCTGAGGTGAAATGAGTTGGAGTCATCTGACGGCAGCTGGTTGTTCTGTTCTTATTCCTGCTTTTCCCTGCTCCGCCAGCCCACCCCGGTCTAGAGCTTAAAATCTTCCTTTGGAAAGCAGACCAATCTCCAGCCACTGGGCTCTGACCCTTGTGAGTTCACTGCCGTGGTCCAGGAGCAGAGGAGGGAGAGGGAGGAGGAGCTCTCCACAAAGATGGACATGGAGGAGACAGCACGAGCCTAGAGGCTGGGCCACTCGTAAGCACATCACCGACCCACTCACTCCTGGAGGAGAGGCGAGGCTGGAGTTGCTAGTCTGTGGAGAGAGGCGAGAGCATTTTTTAACACACTACATATATTTATAAGAAGAATTTAAACAATATACTTTTTTGGTGGGACTGTAGCGTTAAATTCTGAAATTTAATCATCTCTGAATTACAGATCATAATATTTACCTTACCATCTTAAAGGTAATTTTTATCCATGTCTGAAGGACACATTTAAGAGGTTACATATAACTAAAAGTTGTTGATTAGTTGAACTTCTTTGTTATTACCTGCTATTCCAGGCAAAACCTTTTTTTTTTAAGTATTTATACATACACAACATATATATACATATATATACATGCATACAGACTCAAGTGAGGTGTTCTTGGGGTCTTTTAGAAAATTTTTTTAACATGAATTTTTCTGTATTTATTATGGCCAAGTTTTTTTTTTAAATTATCATTCATTTTGCAGCTAACTTTCTTAAATTTAAACTTTGGACTTTTTCTTGTTTCATTGAATAGTAATTTACTAAGTTGTTAAGCCTATTTAGGGTTTTTTTTGGTTTGTTTTAAAATATCAATAATTTAGTGAATTCTTTGTTTACTGTAAGTGAATTGCAAAGGGAGTGGTTTTCCTGGGTTGTGGGTCTTTGTACAGTTGAAACCCATCTCGTGTGGCCGTGCTCCATTACAGAGCCATATGCTCCATTTTAGGCCGGTGTGACCTTTCATTTCTGGGATCATAGGGATTTTATTGAACTTACTCTCATAAGTCTCCAGTGAACAGTCATCTCTGCTTATTATCTGGTCGCTCCCATTGCTGGGCTTTCCCCTGGAGTTAGCTTTTGATCTTTAGTCTTGCAGGTTAGCAGTTCCTTTGTAGTGTTTGGAGAATACAAGATTATAAACAGAGGATCATTTTAAAGCATTTTTCCCCTAGAGAGTGGTCAGGAACCAAATAAATCTTTACTTTAGGGCTTAACTATGTACTAATAATTAAAGCAAACTATAGAAAAGGAATAAGGCACAAAAATTGCCAGTTTTTATTTTGTTGTACATTTTGGTTAATGTGATAAATCTCTTTACTGATAATATTAACATGAAAGTTACCACCCACTGGAGTATATGGAACCTATGCTGGTTTTTCCAACCAATTTTCTACAACCATTGGCCTTTTTTTGTTTTTTGTTTTTTAAAGCACTGGAATCAGCTGGGAGGTAAGAACAAATGCATTACTTAAAAAGTATTTTTTTTCCTTTTTATTAAAGGTGAAAACTGCATATAAGTGTGCATGTGTCTTAAGAGATACCATAAATCCATACCTGCTGCGGAGAATGAAGTCAGATGTCAAAATGAGCCTTTCTTTACCAGATAAAAATGAGCAGGTCAGTAAATCCGGGAGTTGACAGAACATCCTGAAAGCGCATGAGTACCTGCTCCATCATTCTGATTTTCATGTGTGTGATTGACAAGGCCGACCAGTGCGGCTGTGGCTCTCCGAGTCACAGGCAGGTCCCTGGTCAGGTCTGTGGAAGTGGGCTGTGGTGGAGGGCCTTTGGAGAGGCGGGCCGTGGAGGAGGGCCTTTGGAGAGGCGGAGAGGGCTGCTGAGGGGAGTGGCCTCTCGTCTCGGTGCACTATATAATGCACAGTCATTTCTGGGTTTGTTTTTGTAATAAGAGTACTTTGTTAAAATTGTAAACACTGCTTTTTTTGATTAGGGAACTTTTGTTATTTTAATCAATTAAAAGTTTTTTGTTTCAATTATAGTTTCTCTGTTTTTCCCCCCATAGGTTTTATTTTGCCGTCTTACAGATGAACAGCATGAAGTCTACCAAAATTTCATTGATTCCAAGGAAGTTCACAAGATTCTCAATGGAGAGTTGCAGGTCAGCCAAAGGATAGACACGATCGTACCTGAAGAAATGAATTGTGCACCAAGGGAAGTGGGGAGGAGAGAAAACTAACCTTTAAGTACCTAGAATGTTCCTCGCTTTTCACATAATGTTATTGCAACTCATTCTCTTGCAGTTTGTATGATAGGTATCGAGCCACAGCTTGACGACATTAAGGTTCAGAGACGTTAAGTAACTGGTCCCAGGTTGCACAGTGAATGAGCTATGGAGCTAGAATTCAGACTCAAGTTTGACTACAAAGCCCATGCATTTTCTGTGACTCCAGAAGTTGTCATCTGATAGATGAGTAGGTGTTGGGTATGCAGTTGGGTTTTTGCAGAAATTATGACCAAAATTATGTATTCTGGGGAGATTTATAACTTTCATCAACTTCTTAAAGGAGCTCCAGGTCCCAGTAAAAGTTTTTTACCACTATGATATTAGAAACCAGGTGTAATCTCTGATTCTAATATCCCCAGCATAGAACGAGGGTTGTGATGATGTTTTCATTTGCCTCATATGCATGCAAAAGTTTGACAGTGAATAAGGAAGATCAAAGAAGAACTGATGTCTTTGAATTATGGTATTGGCAAAGAATATTGAATATACCATGGACTTGCAGAAGAATGTACAAATCTGTCTTGGAAGAAGTACAGCCGGAATGCTCCTTAGAAACAAGGATGCCGATACTTTGTCTCACGTACTTTGGGCATGTTATCGGGAGTGACTAGTCCCTGGAGAAGGACATCATGCTTGGTAAAGTGGAGGATCTTTGAAAAAGAGGAGCACCCTCAATGAGATGGATAGACACAGTGGCTGCAACAATGGGCTCAAACATAGTAACAGTTGTGAGCACGGTGCGGGCGGGGCAGTGTTTTGTTCTGTTGTACACAGGGTCGCTATGCGTCGGAACCAACTCAGCAGCACCTAACAACAACAATATCCCCAATTTGCATTGTCCCCAATGTGTAAAAGGAATTTGTATGTGGTCATTCTGTTCTTATACTGAGAAGGCTTGCTCTCTATTGCACAGAGTTCAGAAGTTACTAAATCGTATCTTTTCAGAAAAGCCCCATTATAAAAATAATTGGAAGTGTCATAGAATTTGGCTTTCTGGAACACCTTTCCACACAGAGTATCCCAAAGCACTTTAAATAAGAACGAGTTGGTTGGAATACAGTCGTCCCTTTGTATCCGTGGGTGATTTGTTCCAGGAGCCCCTGGGGATACCAAAATCCGTGGCTGCTCAAGTCCCTTACATAAAGTGGTGTAGTGTTTGCATATGACTTACGCACACCCTGCGGTAAACTTTACATCATTTCTTACAATACCTAATACAGTGTGAACGTTACATAAACAGTGGTGCAGTACTGTACTGTTTAGGGAACACTGACAGGATGTGAGAAGCACGATGCTTAAACAACGAGTGGTTCATCTCTAGATTACTTAAACAATACCTA